AGTTAAAATTGAATCACCCACTCAGGAGGTAAATAGGTCTGAAATATAAATGCACTTATGTTGTTGTGTTTTACGTTTAGCTAATAATAAGATAAACGTTATACTGTTGCCTATAGAAAGTACAAATCAATGTTTTATTTCATTATTTTGGAACTTTATTTACTCTGGTGGAAAAAGCTTTGTTCCTGGACCTGTGCCGAAGATGACATCTAGTGTGTGTTTTTTTAATTATGGTACTTCCCACCTGGATACGAGAGGCCATTTCTTTATTAAAGAGTTGCCGACCAAATGCTACTGCGCATTTAAAATTAATGATTTTTCACTCGCAGAAAATGTATTGTTGTTTCTAGTTTTAGCAACACTGTAACATTATTCCCTATTCAGTATTCAGAATTAGAAAGCGCGCTGATTTAATTAAAAAAAAATCTTATCAAGTTAATAAAAAATACAGGCGTTAACAATACCAACTGTTACACTCCAAATGGCGGAGCTAATATCCTGCGACGAAGTTGATCGATAGGTCCCGGATTAGTCTAATTTCAATGGCAATTAATTGCGTCATATGATGGTTTGGCTGCTCAAATCGCGTTATCTTTTATTCGGGCGGAAGGCATTTTAAAAAGTGAGGTCGTAAAATCGATGGGATTTTCATGGTGAATCGGATAAGCCGCATTTACGATCGGAAATGTTTTTTAGCGGACTGGATCTTCGATTGGAGGCTGTCGGTTCGAGATAATATTTCACGAGTAAAGTATCTGTTTTCATTGGTCCAAGTTTGAATGTCGAGCTTTGATAAGAGGTTTTATATTAGCTGTAAATACCGGCTGGCCGAGTTCAAATATGTGTATAACGAAAGTGCTTTTTAATTCAAATTTATGGACTACCAAAAAAAAAACATGTGTTATGGGAACAATAATGTTGTTTATTATATATTAAAAATCTTTTGTGAACCAATATTTGAATAACTGCGGACCAATTAAATTTCAAATAGAGACTACGGAACATCTAAACTTCAGCGTATTTGGACGCTTGGAAGTATCCGATAGTTTATTTTTGCCTGGATGCATCCGCTATAAAAAGATATATTAGGCACTTTTCGTTATAGAGTAATAGACAAACACACTAATATTTCGGTGGAAAAAATAATAATAAAGACAATGTTTATTACTAACTCTACTTAATCACGAATATCCGATGGCGAAAGGATCCTAAGGAAATAAAAAACAACACCATCTTACTGTACACAAAACATTACAAACAATAGGACGTTAGGACAGTTAATAATAAAAAATTCTTTTGAAGGCAATTTAGATTCAGATCTTGGAATTTATCAGTAATTTGTTGAGGCAAATTCAGGAGTGTGAAACACTAAAAATCTCCTTTTGACCTTGTGTCGTGACATTGAACTTCAAGTCAGGGTTTCTATTTTTTATTAACTAGATAATAGTGGAATAAATAAACAAACTATAAAAGGGCATTTTAAATGTTTGCAAATATTTCTACTACCTTCTTTCTTGTGTCGTGTCGTGAACTTGAATTCCACTTCCGCATATAACAGAGTTCAAATTTTTAACCAAAACTAACGGAAACTATAAAGGGCATTATTTTTAGAATTTTCAAATATCTTGGAAGGGTGCCATTCTATTCATTTTATTCATATATTTTTTTTAACTACAAAAATAGACTAGCTTGAACTCAAGCTAGGGTAGCTTGAGTAGTGTACAGGCTGTCCCAAAATTAATGATACAAAATAGCAGATTCTTTAGGTAAAAATATTACGATTTAACGAAACTTACCTTAGTCCAAAAGTTCACCGGGGTGTCAAAATTGCAATTTCATTTTTGTGTGTTTTTTTTAATAATTTTTGAAATAATCTAGCTTTTTTCAGAAAATTTGGAAAATCTGTTTTTTTTGCCAAATTATATGGCATTTTTCGTTGATACTAACTTTTTTTGCGCCTTAGTATATTCAGATTTTTAATAAAAATATCACTTCTTACACCTTTTTTTGATCCGAGCCCCCGTTTTCGAGAAATTCGCATTTGGAATGTACATAATTGAACAGTTTCATGTAAACACGCAAAATAGTTCGAAGTAGGCTTTGACTAACATAATCACAATAAAAGACAGTAAAATCGTGCCAAGTAGGCTCTGATCAAACTCAGACACGATAAAATACTTGCAAAATTTGTATTAGGCTTTAACTAAAAGAAATGGTCCTGGTGAATTATGCTTTTTGTCAATATCTTGGATGTTTTTAAAAAGTTTTGGTTAGTTTTCTCAACTTTATACAAACTTATCTCTTGTTACTTTCGAAAATCGATGAAATCGAATTTTGGGAAAGAATCTACGCTCGTATAAAAATTTTATATCTCGGTAACGGTAGGTCCTATGGGATCGCCGCTGGTACAGAAATGATCACAGTTGAAAAAAAAATTTTTTTTATCTGTCCGTTGTCCATTCTCCGCTCTCGTGTTTCGATTTTTCTCGAATAACTTTCAAACCGTTGGAGCTAAAGTTAAAATTTGCCTCATTTTTAACCTTTCGCGAGGCATATAAGCACGCAAGCAAGCTTATAAGAAATGGCCCTGATCCGACGCCGGTGTCCATCTTTTTTTAGAGATTTTCGTCTGTTTTTAGGCACATATATGTAGCTTTGCCCCGTGACGGAACCTATTGAAAATGGAGGGGTTTAAAAAAATTAAATTAAAAAAAAAATTAAAAACTCATCATTTTTCAAAAACCGTTTAGGGGACCAAAAAAAACTCATCAACTGGAAGACGCACAATATACGGCTTCATAAACTTTTATTCTTCACAATTTTTTAAAAATATACAGGGTGTGCTGCAAATTCAAAAAACCTAAAAATGGGTCCCCCTATTATTGAAAATTGATTATAACTGGAAGACTATGATTCACATCTCACTATCTTTTATATTGGGATATAGTCCGCAAAGACAGCAAAAACTTTTGTATTTAAGGTTTTCAAATATTGGACAGGGTGTTCCCGATATTCCGTGCTAAATGAGAAATGCCTTAAGTGTCCTAAATTCGCAGATATCAAATTTAGTAGAGAAGTAAACGTCCATGTTCACATTTAAAGTGTAGTATTTTTTAATAATTTTTGAAATTTGTTTTTTGGTAATTTTAGTTTCCAGAAAAATATGTTTTCCTCCATAATCGTTCACCCGATCTGCAAAATTATTTAAAGGACACACGCGGAAGATCCAGTGATATCCGGGCGATTCTATCAGTAACCCCCTTGATGTATGGCAGAGATCGATCTCTGTTGGGTTTGGTTCTGCAGTCTCTGTTACAGCTGTTGTTTGTTTATTGCCCTGCTGATGGTACGCTTTTGGTATTCGTTTTGCTGAAGACAGGTACTAATTTTCTTCAATTCATCATCTCTGTTCTTTTTGTTTGTAAGCCTGAAGGACCGGGCAATCAATGTATTTGACACTGCTTGCTGCACAAGATATCTATGGCATACAAACTTGATCATACTATTGGATATTAATATTAATATTAAGAAACCCAAAACAGAAAATTGCTTTGGAAAACCAAGGAGTATATAGTGTGGCTTGCGGATCGTGCAGCTTGATATACGTGGGACAGAGCAACAGGAGGATCTCAGCCAGGCTTGAGGAATATCGATTAGCCATAAGAAATAAAAAAACAACATCGGCTTAATTCAAGCACCAACACCAGACAGGCCATAAAATTGATTTCGGCACTTGCAAAGAAATAGCTAACATTTCTGATTTTAGGACCAGATAGAGGCCATCGAGATAGAAAAGTCCGGACACCTAAATACGAGAGACGATGATCTATCTATGATGACAATATGTTCCGAGATAATATCCGTTCGTTTGTGAACTCCTACTGGAATCCTGCAGTGTTCGAAGTGTTTTAGTGTTTTCGGCGAGGATTATATATATATATATATATATATATATATATATATATATATATATATATATATATATATATATATATATATATATATATATATATATATATATATATATATATATATATATATATATATATATATATATATATGTATATTCCGGGATATCATCCGTTCGCTCGTTGAACTCCGACTGGAATCCTGCAAATCCTGCATCCGACTGGAATCCTGCAGACGTTTCGCCAAAATCTCACTTGGGATCTTCAATGCTCGCGTTCCAAAAACACTTCGAACACTTTTGGAGCGCGAGCATTGAAGATGCCAAGTGAGATTTTGGCGAAACGTCTGCAGGATTCCAGTCGGATGCAGGATTTGCAGGATTCCAGTCGGAGTTCAACGAGCGAACGGATGATATCCCGGAATATAGTGTCATCACATTTTTCCATCCGCGAATCATACGTGAGAATATATATATATATATATATATATATATATATATATATATATATATATATATATATATATATATATATATATATATATATACATGGCATCACTTTCACACGGTCACACACTGCGATGGAACTTTCCACAGCATTTTTAGAACTTTAAATCATAATAATTAATATGTATTTTTCTATTTCGACGGGCGAATGGACAAAAACCAGATGAGAGCAAATCATTACGTACACAGATGCACTTTGGCATTGCTAGTATTTCAAATAAAATAAATTTGATAGCGCGTTTTATGGACATTTGAGCGAAAACAACTTCTACCTGGTTTGTTTTTCCACGCGCCAATGTTTACTGTTTCAACGGATTTAAATGAGACGAGTGCACAGGTTAGGACTTGCCCGATTTGCTTGTTCACGTAGAGGATTTCCTAATGGCATGATTTTATTAGGACATAATGATTTTGGACATCAATTTGATGTTATTATTTTACGTGATTGTATTTAGAAAACCATCCAATGAAGCTGATCCAAGGGGAAGCCGCAGTGATTGCAAATAAATAAAAAGTGGTCGTGTTTTAATTAATTATTTTATTAATTAGTAATTTATTTATTGTAAACAATGTTTGGAATAATCGACACTGGTAGTAGTTAATCACGAGAACTTATGAGCATTAATTTAGCAAAATGGATGGACATTGGACTAAAGATTCGGTATTTTAATTGTACTAGCCAAAAGGTGAAAAATTCTTCATAAAGTGATTGCATTGGGTATATGAAGCTGTTGATAGTTTTAACAAAAAACTTAAATGATTATTGAAGCAATTCAGTTAATAATTATAAAGAATTATAAATTAAAATTCAAATGTTGCACGGATTAATTAACTAATGTAATTTAATAACTGGAGAAAAGGAAGCAATAGTAAACGTATTTGACATTAACCATTTTTTTAAACAATTTTATATTTTACTTGAACGCAAAACCAGCCAAAACTAATCAAAAGATTCCATTATCACTTGGAGAAATATGCATTAGGTATTAGTTTTAAATACCATATCCATCAATCGATGGGTTACGGCTCTGCAGTTGCACCTGTCTAAGGACTTTAATTATGTAAAATTGCTCGCCGTAATACAATTTTCCCATTATCGAATCGATAATCTCTTTTATTTACAGCGTGTCAAAACATTTGCCGAAACATCGTTCCTGCGTAATGGCATCATCGGGATAAATAAAATGAAAAAAGCATTGCGTCGGGAATGTTTATGAAATTCCTTTTGAAATTGATATCCAAGCGTTACAAAAATACGATGATCAACGTTGCCAGTAGGACACATGAGGCTAAACCCACTTTGAGTATCTGAAACAGAATGGTGAATGAGTTCTTTCTTTCTCAAAGAGATCATAATTTTAAGCAAAATAACACATATTCTGGGATTAGGACAACTTGGTTACTAATATCAAAATCACAAACAGTTTTAATTAATCAATCATCACCATTAATCACTAGTAATTTCCAAATGACGTTTAGCTACATATATTTTTGTTGTATTTGTCCAAAGAGAGCTGAACGGCTGAAAAAATTTTGATATAGTAGGGTTCTTCCTTTTTTATTTGAAATTTACATAAATTTGACGATGCTATGAATGTGGCATTACCAATGAGACTTTACTTCAAGATAAGAATTATTGCAAGGAAACAGCTTGCAGTCAGCAGGAGACAAGTCAAGGGGTTACAGTACTCACATGCAGCCCTTCAATTTATGTGCTGATCGACAAAGCTGCTGCAACTGTGCTGAAGAAATAGCTTGTCATTCTAGTCATTCATTTTCTTTTTCTCTCTTTTCTCTCTCTATTGATTGCATTAGGGATCAAAAGTAATTTTCAAATGCCGTTTAGCTACATATATTTTTGTTGTATTTATCCAAAGACAGCTGAACGGCAGAAAAATTTTGATATAGTAGTGTTCCTCCCGTTTTATTTGAAATTTACATAAATTTGACGATGCTATGAATGTGGCATTACCCATGAGACTTTACTTCAAGATAAGAATTATTGCAAGGAAATAGCTTGCAGTCAGCACAACACAAGTCAAGGGGTTGCAGTACTCACATGCAGCCCTTCAATTTATGTGCTGATCGACAAAGTTGCTGCAACTGTTCGGAAGAAATGGCATGTCATTCTAGGTCATTCATTTTCTTTTTCTCTCTTTTCTCTCTCTATTGATTGCATTAGGGATCAAAAGTAATTTTATTGCACAAAGTTTACCCACGCCTATGGCCCGGCACCAAACTAAATTTCTCATTTTATTGCTCTAATGTTGTCTGAAATAGTCTATAGCTTTTGGTATCCAATGCCGAAACTAATTTCACTTTGGCTATTGATAATATGGGTTAGTTAAAATAATATTAGAATCGTAGCTAGAGCCAATTTAATATAGAAAAATAAATTTTCTTTTCCGAGTATTTTTCTGTTAAAACGAATTTTATAGGGTCTTTAGTTACTACTCGTTATGCCGCTTTATTCGTATTCTACAATTAATTTTTCCCGGCAACCCTTTTATTTAATAAATTAGTCGTCCTAAGGTAAATTAAAAATTCTTTATACCTGCGGCACCAATTCCGTTTACTGAACTAATTACATTCAAGGATAGACTTCTGTAAGAAGTACAATATTTTGATGTTTCTTTAGTCCCTCGCTTTAAAGAATTAAATGTCAAAATTTTGAACGAAATATATACAATATGAAAGTTTTCAGTCACCAACGTGAACAGATTCACTCATTAATTACTTTCCTTCTGCCAGCACATCTTCGTCCTTCGTCTCCTGGAAGAGCATTGTGGTCTCGAGGAAGTAGCTCTTTTATACTTAGTTTGATTCAACTAACTAAGCTCCTAGTACGCTTAACCAATTCGGAACTGACCCCCATAATATGAGAGCTTTCTCCAAAAGTAGTATTCTGGAAGTGTTCCTACTAGTATTTGTATAAAATCTGACTTTTATGAGTTTCAGATTGCATGACAGCGACACAAATTTCAATTAATCTATAAATCTTCAGGTACTTGAATAAGTCGAGAAATGAGAAAATTATGTATAACAAATTAGAACCTTTTTTTTTCACTACCTACAACTTACCTCAATAACCAATATATCTTCTGGGTAATATACTGTTTCCTAATGCGAGAGAGTTAGCTAGCAATCATTGTTGAACTGTAAAAATTAGTAACCTTAGCCGTATTCTTGACTTGATAAAGATTTTGATTTTATTCTCTCTCTGTTTCAATCGTCCTCTCATTTCAGTCGTAATGTGAAATTGAAAAGAAACTGATCTGCTTCGAAGAATTGTGTATTAGGTTTTTCTCTTGTGTATTCAAATAAAGTTACATTCTGAAGAATCAGTTCCTCATAATTATACAGTCCACTTTGAAGAAACTCGCACTTGTAATGATTATTATATTGAAAGTAGTAACGCCGCTGTCACATTACTTTCATTCACCAAACTCGTCTTTCTACTGTATAGCAATTAGTAGGACCTTAATTTGGGAACGATTCGAGGTGTGTAGGTCTTAAAAAGTGAAATACAAAATTTTTTGGAAACTATCATGAACTTAACACAGTGTCCGTCCTGTGATCCCCGTCATTGCAAATGTATATTTTATTACTATCTCATTTTAGGAGGCGAAATATTGAGTCGTGGACATAAAGTGTAACCTACATTTGTCATGGTATTTATTCAAAAGCACAGCTCGCATCAATTTGCAGATGGCTTTCAACCATATCTCTAAATCTCAGTTCGTTTTGTTTGGCAGTGAAATTGAAATTACGTGACACCATTATTTTATCTACATTGACATACTGCAGTGTGTTATACTGACCAGCTCGTATTCGCAAAAATAGAAAAAAGTGTCCTGTATAAGATTTTGTTATGGATCGATACGGTTTGATCATCTCTCCTTCAGATTCAAATTTTAATTGGCTTAGACTGGAAACTCGATAGTATTTATTTGATAAGTCTCTGATATGCATTATAGGTCCACAAGGATTTTCTGACTGTTCCAAGGCACAGAACGGCCATATTTCACAGATCGTTTAGTTAGAATGCAGCAATAGAGTATTGTGCAACAAGTGTGGTAAACAGCATTTGAGTCACGAATTTATTTGGCACGAGCGGAGCGAGTGTTTACTTAACGAGTGACTTTAAAAGTTTACAAACGTGTTGCATACTATATTTTTTATATTCCCTTCTGTAAAATATCTAATTATACACCGACCAAGCGCGCGGAAACAGTATATTATGCAACAAGTGCGGTAAACGGCATTTGACTCACGAGTTTATTTGACACGAGCGGAGCGAGTGTTTAATAAACGAGTGAGTTAAAAAGTTTACCGAACGTGTTACATACTATTGCTTTTCTAAGATCGTTAGTTTTTGGGTACATTTTCGCAAAACACGAATACATTCACTGACATGACTGTCAGAATTGACAAACGTCAAAATTCAAAGCGTGGGAAATATATCCGAAAACATCCGATTGCTCCCAAACCCGTGCGGTAAAAACGGAAGTGACTCGGATTCGTGGGAAACGAAATTGACGTGGTAAAGCGACCTGCGTAATTAGGTATTTTACAGACGGAAGTAGAAAAATGTTATTTTAAGTCAGTTTCGTTTCCCACGGATCCGAGCCACTTCGGACATTTCCGGAATATTATCGCACGTGTTTAATCTTCTGTTTTCGGACATTTTACCGCACAGCTTGAATTTCTTTCTCAATTCTGATGGTCATGTCAGTGAATGTATCCGTGTTGTATTGCAAAAAATACTCAAAAACTAACGGTCATAGAAAAAGTATAGTATGGAACATGTTCGGTAAACTTTTTAAGTCACTACTCGTTCATTAAACACTAGCTCCGCTGCCCTCCGCTCGTGCCAAGTAAACTTGTGACTCAAATGCCGTTTACCGCACTATGTCTTTCTGGGCATCTTTGAATGATTTTGGACGCAGTTTCAGTAATATTCCTCTGTTGATGTGCATTCGTTTCATGTCACTAGTAAGATCGTACTGTTATTGCTCGTTGTACTTTTTACATTTTTCTTCCTACACTTACTTTCTCAATTGCAATGTTATGAATACATATTTTTTTTGTTTGGAAAAAAATGTTTTTTTCTGTAATACTATCTTGTTAGTAACTGTACTAAATGATTAGATATGAGTAACGGCAAGCTAGACCTTGCCACTAAATTTACACTTTTTTATGTATTATTATTATTATTATTATATATCGCCTACCTTATCTTGCCACTGCCGATTACGAACGCACTGACTATACCGAGTGTGCCCGAAAGAAATCGAATTGTACAGCGGAGTCCACGACCCCGGAAACAGCCGCTCCAAAAAACAATCGAGCATCCGTCTCAGTCTGTAGGTCGGTCTAGTCACCAAGTCCCTCATCTCGATGTAGTTGTACATGGCCAGGTCGCATACTGCGTGCGCATCTGTTCTACGTCTGCTACTGAAATCTTTTATCGACTTTGGGATGTTGTCTTCTGTCTCATCTAGGATTTCGTGAAGGATTGAACAGTCTTCAAAACCGGCGTTCATTCCTGTAATATTAACCGCGTTTCCTCTATGACGATTAATCAATATCTAGTAGGTCTATCAAGTGCAGTAGCTGATAACGTTTTGTCAAAATGAACTGTGTTATAACAAAACATTGTTTGGTAATCCCGCTCGTAGTAGTCGAAGAATTGTTGTAATATTTATTAAGACATTTTGATTAAGACTCATTGCTGTTGACTTTAGAGTAAAAGCAAAATACAATATCAAAGACGCGAAATAAAATATATTTATGCGAATCATATAGAGTAAAATGACGTTATTTTTACCCTAGAAAAAAAAGGGGTAGTTTGTTTTATAAACGTTGATTGAAAAGTCAACAATTAGGGCTACAAATATGGCGGAATAATAAGTATTTCAATTGTAAAAACGCACTTTTGGTATATTCTTTCATTACTTTAACTAAAATTATGCAATTATATAAACAATTTGTTTCTTATATGTTTTATTTAGACACTTGTATGGTATGGATATAACTAGTTTTTCTCGTGCGATTTTCTTATAATACGTACCGCATAACGAGATGAAAATATTTCTTAGAAGTCTAGTGGGTTGTTGTCACTTTTTAGGGCGTTTCTTTTATTGCTTTACTCGACATTACTCGATTTGAACACAATGTGCGACTAATTTAAAACAAAATTTATCAAATAATTATTTCTTTGTTCAATTGTAAGAATTTTGATTCAATAATGGTGAATTATGGGATTTTATGTATGGACGTGTAAAAGGTAATTCCTCTGAAGCTGTCGTCTTTATACACTAGCGTACCCTAATTAGGGACCTCTTCATCACATTTTATTTATCAGGCTTCATCAAAGGCTATATGAAATTGGAAGTCTTGAAAAAAATAGTTTTGATATTGGCCGACACCGCGGAGTTCTAACACCTGGATTAGAAGTTGCTGTGCTAAATATTATCAGTATCAGGAGAATTGCAGCAGACCTTAAATACTGATGTGTCACCTGTATGGAGAATATTAAAGGAGTATTATGTACAAATGTTCCTCTTGTGTCTGTTGTTTATAAATCACACTTGTTGACGTATCGCCAATAATCCCGTGTGACAATGTTCATGCCCCTTCTTTAGCTCCGCCCCATTCATATATAAGCAGTTACACAGTAGTATGCGAGCCAGTTTCAGTTTAGTTCTGAAGAAGCCAACAGGCAAGTTTGATTTATAAACAACGGACTTTGGATGAATCCAGGAGATTTTTGTACTGATTTAATATCCTCCATACAGTTGACACACCAGTATTTAATTCTGCTGCAACAGTTGTCTCCTGAGGAGGAATCCAGGAATTTTGTAAATAGTATTTTAATAACCTGTGGAAGTTTCTTTGAAAGGCGATAAAGAGAATCTTCAAGCTTTTTCACCAATGAATCGAGGATGATTTGTTTGCAATGGTTTTTGGCCGAAGGGCAATGCAATTTAAAACTTTGGCAACAAGCTGGCATGGACTGAGATAATCCGCATTTGCCCAGGTGACTTTTAAAATTAACTGGTGAGCCCTACTTTCTGTGTGTACAAGAAGACACAAGTCCCTTCCTAGGAAATGGATCTCTGCTAAGTACTCCTGTACTACTGCTAATGTACAGGGTGGCCCTTTTAAGGGCTTTTAAGGCTTTTATCTCGAAACCTACGGGGGTTACAAAAAAATTTTAAATACAAAAGTTGTTCCTATTAAAATGACCTCTATTTTTTTATTTTCCTTTTTTGGTGATAAACCAAAGTTACAATTTTTAAATAGAACCTTTTACTGCATTTTTGGATAGTCCTTTTAAAGACAAATTCAACGATATATATGAGTATGGGTCTGTGATGCACAGTTTCCAACCTATTAGCGATCTCCAGAATTCGGGTTATGTTTAAACCATCATTGTTGGGTTGCTTATTAACATTTTAAACGACAATTTTACATTTTTACGACAATAATGCTTTTCTTTAGGCAATGATCAAATTTAAAATAATTTCTTAAAATACGCGGTTTTGCCACGTTTCGTAAAATGCTACTATTCTCAATTTTCTTAAATGAGACACCCTGTATATTATTGCATTTTCGAATAGCCACTTTAATAGCAATTTTAATTATATAACGTGGCACGGGTCTCTGACTTACCGTTATGGCTTAATTGGCAGATAAAATTAAAAACTGGGTATATGATTTAAATTATAAAGATATGACTAGGAATTAGCTCCTTATCAATTGTTTTAGAGCATTGTAAAGAAGTCATATTAAAAACAGAATATGTTGTACACAATGTTGCCAAATTTCGCAAATTACTTATTTCTACGTTTAAATGTCTACGTGATATTATTACAAAAAATTAACACTGACTACTAATGCATATTACTTACAAGTAAAATTAATTAAATTAGCATTTCAATATGTCGGCCGTTTTAAAGAACACAAGCACTATATGTTATTTCTAAATGGTGTATGGCATTTGAGACGTAATTCGTTTCATTCTCGTTGCTGCACTTTCAAAACTGTTAATAGTTTATCTTTGTAAGCCATATCTTTCAATGTGTCCCACGAAAAAAGTCCATCGGGGTCAAATCTGGACTCCCTACCGGCCAGGAGATGGTTCCGTTTTGTCCAATCCATTCTCTGAAATTTTCGTTTAAAAAACGAATGATTGCAGCACCGCAGATGTTGTAAATATTGATTCATCGGTCCATATTATATTTTGAAATATGTTATCTAAAAATTGCCAATTCATCATTATGTTGCAAAATTCAAGTCTTGAGTTAACATCTGCTTCTGGTAGTTTTTGAACTGCTGTGAATTTAAATGGCTTATAACTGGTAATTTTTAAACATGTTTGAAGTGTCTTACGTCTACATCTGAAGCGGCAAGACGTGTCTCTGGAATATTTTGAAAATGCCGAAGAATATCTAGCTGCATATTTTCATCCAAAACCTTTCGGCGCCTACTTTTTTTCACTAACGCACTGCCATGTGTTCGAAACTGCTGGTATATTATGGCCAATATTTTTTTTGCTGCAATCGCAACATTCCAATAGGTCAACTTTCTCCTTCTTCGTATACGTTATACAAAACAGATTCAACAAAAATGCAACTTAATAAAACAAATATAAAATAGTGGAAGTCCGAATAAATACCCTTAAAATATTATAATACACTGATACTTGACAAAAATCAGTAACATTACCAAAAAAGAGAACTACTATTGTTTTCAAAGCTAATGCGATGATTATGTCATAAAGGTCAATGTCATCATTTTTGTGTCTGTGTCTTTCAACAGGCAGGTTTCTATATATTTTTTAAAGACATGTGGTCTATATTGTTGAGAATATGAATATTTTTTAACAGTTTTTTTTTCATTTAAATACATTATTAATAAGATTCTTAAATTATGAATGTAAAAGAATTTATGTCTTATTGTACTATATTATAAAGTTTCTATTCGAAAATACAATATTATATATACATTTAAGAAAATTGCGATACGTGACAACACCGCGTATTTAAAGAACATATTTTAAATTTGATCATTGCTTAAAGAAAAGCATTATTTTGGTAAAAATGATATATGGAAAAAAGTTTAATAAAAAAACCAACAATGATGGTTTAAACATAACCAGAATTCTGAAGTTATGTTAACTAATATATATCGTTGAATTTGTCTTTCAAAGGACTATTCTATTTCTATTTAAAAAAATGTAACTTTGTTTATAAAAGTGACGATTAAGAAAATAATAAAAAACATAAAGATCATTTTAATAGAAACGTTTGTATTTAAATTTATTTTGTAACCCTCGTAGGTTTCGAGAAAAAGTTTAGGCCCTTCTTAAGCTGGCCACCTTGTACGCTGGGCAGTAGTGCGCATCAAAATCGCAGCACAGGAAGAGGTGGGCTTTAACAATCGCCGCCTCCATCCCGATGGATATTTACCATAGGATATCGAAGACGTAAGATAATTGCGTCTTGTAACATCATAAGAAATGATACAGGCATATTCCAGCGTATTAGGAACTCACTGATGCGTAGAATAAATGCCTAAGCTAGGCATGTTCCACATTCCACAAATAGTATTTTTATATTGCTGGACTCTTGCTTACTTGTTATGTTCATTAAAGTTACATTGTTTAAATAAAATGCTTTCATAGTTTACGTATGAATAGATCAATTGATTTCAGGAATGTTTATCAATAATTTTTTTTTAATGTAAATGTTTAGAAGAGAATTGATAAACGTTGGTACAAAATTCAACTGTTTGCCAGCCCACAACTAAATAATTTTTCAAAAAAATATATATTTTTTGAAACCCTAAATTTTATGAAAAATTGCACCAGACAAAAAGTTTCTATTAAACACGTCTCTAGAAATTATTTTTTTTTCATATAAATATAATAATATAAATAGTAAAACTTCCCGGATATTTTATTATTCTATATATTTTAGGTTTTAAGATAAGATGTAAAATATCTCCCAAATGGTTGGCTCCTGACCTAACGGTTATATTATAAACTTCATTTTCAACAAGGAACTACCCCCTTAAATTTTTCTCTTTTTTAAAACACCCTGTACAAAGGAATCAAGGAATAAAATGTTATTAAAAAAAGTAAGTTATCATAAATCAAATCATAAAAATTGTGAACTGTATGCTTATGTATATAACACCACCAATTCTAGAACGCGTCGTGGTTGTTTGTTCGAAGGCGCTTCGCTCTCGCAACTTAATTCTGAATTAAACTCGTTTACAAAAGGTATCAATTCACACACAAACAATAAAACGTCGAACTTCCTCCTCAGGGATCCGCTAAAAATACCGTTGGCACATGTGCGGTCGATGAATCAACGGTATGTGAAAAAATAAATCACGCTGCCTCAAAACATTTATCTGTATCTGACAAATTAAAGGATTAAAAATAAAAAAACCGGACTTTTGCGATCGCTCGATACGTCGGGACCACGAACTAGTCAATTTTACGCGGAGCTTTCATTGCTACTATATTTCCAGGAA